CGGCATCTGCTACTTATATATATACAATCGGCTTTTTGCATGTGCCTGTAATTCAGTGGTTGTCGTTTGTTACTATATTTCATTGTTTTACGTTCATAGTTTTGTACATAAATAAGGCCTTTAGCTTTCTCGTTTGAATTGTTTTACCGTGATTTGTCATATCTAGGCCTTTTATACATTGTCAAGAATCAGTCCGGTCGATATTGCGCATGCGTGAATTCAGACACCCTACAGGACTCAGACCACAATTATATTGGTTTTGCTCGGTCTTGAAGGCCGTACGGTGACCTATATTCGTTAACTACTACATCATTTGGTCTCCGATAAGAGGTTGTCTCGTTGGCAATCATACTACATCTTCTTGTCTTTATATTTACTATTATGCACCCCATCCCACGTGAATATCGGATACCCAAGATATATCATACTGTCGGATTGCTTTGCTTGATCTTTATTATTGTTTTATTGTGAAAAAAATGTTCTGGCAGGGTATTGTCAATAAATGTCACGAACAAGTCGTTATTTCAGTTTTAAAAAATGATTGCAAAGCTTCTCTGACTGAATTAAACCACTGTGACGGACTGTGCATTATGCCATTACACTTACACAATTGAATATTTAAAATTGTCACACTGTATCTTCTTATGCCGTATGAACTACAATCGATCACAGGTCTGTTATATATCTACACCATCCGGAATAATTATCTTATATGTTACCTTGGCATGCCATATATGATGAAATGCGGACGTGAAAGAAAGCACTCCCATACGCGTCAATGGAGATTTTATTTCCAATGATTTGCGTCATTTATAAAACAAAAGCATATATTAAGCATGAGTGTAGAAGGTTGTACTTAATTAACAACAGAAATTACAGGTTTTTGAAGGAATCATTATGATGTGGATATGTAAAAACAAAGACTTCAAATTATCATTGCTATCACTGACACTGTTACCGTCGTCGGACATCAAATTCCATGAAAATCATGGCCATGAATGACGCATTTTTATTGAGGACCGAAGACAATCACTGACATTGTTTCCGAGTTAGAACAGTCACGTGCTGCATGATAAAACTATTTTAACAATGATTGAAACTTTTTTTTATAGAAACAAAATTTCAAGTTACTCATTGAATGCGGTTTTTTTTTTCGACCAACTGCATGGCCTCATCATTGCAGATACCAAGATTTATGAACAAACAAATGACAAACTAGCTCTGGCCCTAGTCATAATTTAAAGTGAAATGCAAATGTTGATTATTTCAAAATGTTCCCTAAACCATTTTCATGGTATTAAAACACATATGGCAAAATCAAAGGTACTTTATTTAAATCATTTGCACCACGTGACTTTGTCCCTTTTGATCAAATTACTTCCCTTAGCTTAAGATTGAAAATATGATTTATTATAGATTTGCGAATAATCCAGTCCTTTTCCGTCATGTATCTAAAACTAATGTATCTTTAAAAACTTCCTTTGGCGGATATTTACAAAAATGCTTAAAATTTGACTTTTTACGAAATGGGAAGGTTGAAATCATCATGTTTTTAAAAGAATTTGGCCGAAAACTTAAGAAAGCAGGTAAGTTAAAAGTTATTTAACTTTAAAATTCAACCTACAAGGTGTTTCCCTATATGCGAACAAATCATGAACAATATCTTCTTGCATGTGTAGTTCTGTTTTGAATTTTGCTATTTTACGATTTTACGTCATTTTATTTGATCTTATATAGCAATTACACAATGGTTACGCTTCCGATTTTTAAACTAAAAAGGCCGAAAGATTTAAGGGTAGACAATGTCCATTTGTACACGGACAGAAGCCTAAAACATGTACCATTCACCTATATGCGAACAAATTGTTCATTCGACATAGGTATTTGCATATTAGCATTTTTATTAAAAGGGCTTATATAATCCTATTGTAATGGCTGCCGTCATGATAAGGCAAAATGGCCGCTATGCAAATTACCCCAAATTTTGCCATATGAAATGCATATTACTTTCTGCATTCACTGAAATTATTTTTCCATTCAAGCACATTTCATTTTGAACTGGAAAGAAATCTAAAATATGAATATATGTTTCCATAAAAAATATGAACATGTTATAAGATATTTATTCAATAATTATTGGCACCCAAAAACTGGTTAAAAGAAGAATGTTATAACTTAAAGCAGAAAGGGAAGTTATATATAGGCCCTGATTTACAATGCATTGTGGGAAACACTTGCTAACTACCCAAACTTAATCATATGATTAAAAATGAATACAGTGATTAGTAAATACAATGATTAAAATAAGTTGAACAACGCAATATAATCATCACAATTTGTATTTACTAATCATGCGATTAACTTTTAACGAATCGTTAAAATTAATCATATGATTAGTTTAATCACAAGTTGAACAACTGTTACCGACCCCTGAACATTTCAAATGTCATACATCTAAAACCATAAACTAACAATTTACTAAAGTATTAATGAAGACAACCACTTACGTGGTATTTTTTATAAGGAGAGGTAAGAGATTAATGATATAGGTTACTGTTTAATACATTTATAATTCATAATTTTTAACTTAATTGCGTAGTGGTACACTGTTTGACTAAAGCTGAACATTGAAACAGGAATATATACTGACATGGCTATAGAATTACGATTATGCAAATGTTGTAATATGCAGTTGTTGAAAACGAATACCTTTTTTATAAGTATGCCCAGCTTATATAATATATCAATTAGGCACAACATTTTGCCAAAATGTCATTGTCCTTGGCCAAAGTTTTAAATCATTAAGTCAATGACTATTCAACCCCCCTTCTTCTGATTTTTATCAGCAAAATAAAAATAAGAATACCCAAATAGTGTACACCACAAAACAGTCTGTGAGAGAAAGAGAGAGGGTTAACTGTTAATTTTTCATCAATTCCTGGTAAAGTGCACCTTAGAAAGTCAACAAAACTGTTTAGGTCTTTTCCATCCAATTCTATTTCCTGTTTATCCTTTTCTTTAAAGTCTGACGTAAACATTTTCTCAAATACTGGTGACTCGGCCATAAGTTGTTCCTTGTTCACGTGCAGTTTTGTATTTTCGATTTTTATTATCAAATCGTGCTGAGCAAAAAGAGACAAACGCTTTTGGCTGTCAATCTCATCAGTATATACATCATTCCTACCCACAGGTGCCTTGGGAGCTTCCACAAGTACCGTGGTAGCGTTTGTAGGAGGTTTTGCGCAAAACATCTGAAAAGACACTAATTAATTCTAAATTTTGTGGTTCGATTTTGTAAGGAATAAAAAACCGTCAAAAGCGTGGTTTATGTTCTTTTTGCAACGATTTTTCAACGAATAAAGTTCCATAACTCCGGAATGTCATATAAGAAATTTATAAAAAAAAACAACAGAAGGGAGCTCATTTCAATAGAAATAAAAAAGTCACCAAAATTTCATGAAAACTGATCAAATCGTATTTTGAGTAATTGTTCGAAAACTGGACCCCCTTTTTATGAATAAAGTCTCAATACTGCAAAACGTAAAAACGGATTTTTTTTAAAAATCGAAACTGTTTATATATAACAATTCACCAAATTTTCACGAAAATTGTTCAAAGAATGTTTGAGTTATAGTCAGACAAGAGGCTGTCAGAGAGACAGCAAACCGGATTGTTCTGCAGAGGTCGAACCCTGAACAGTTGAGCAAGTATGGACACAACATTTAAGCTTAAAACAGCTCCGAATTTGGATTGTGATTGAATATTTGATACAGCATAGGTTTGTGACAAAAAATAAATGTGATCAAAGAACTGAAAAATTTGAAATTGGACATTTACCTATTATGGTCCAATATCCAAATCTAAGTACATTACTAGAATCAGCATATCAAAGAACCATAAGAATCAATTTTTGATGAAAAACTTCTTAGTTAAACCACTTCTGTTCAAAGAGAAATAACTCAAACTTTATTCCCATGAACCAATAATGTAAATCTAAAATTGAATATGATTTAACCATAGTTCTCTAAAATTAGATATGATGTAATTAGATATGATGTTATATTTATTTTCAAATTATAATCAAATATAATAGTTTTCAAATAAATCTGTCACTCCAATTATAACTGGGTGATTGACAATTACCAGATGGTGTGTTATCTTGATAAAAGGTGAAAATCATTTAAAAACACTAGTGTAATCAAACTTTATATATATACAATCATGAATGTATTTAATAGTTCCCAATATTTTTTCTTTCATTTGTAACAAACTAATATAGATCTGCAACTCTACAACTTTATCTGCACAATGTTATGTAATAAAATACATCCTTTAATAAAAATAGATTACTATCTAATGAATTTGCAAAACAACATATCTAAATTTGAAAAAAATTTCTTCAAAGGGTTTTCATGTAAATGAACGGACACTGTTTGGCAGAAGCAAGCCCGCCCGCCCGTCCGCCCGCCGTACATCTCCAAATCAATAACCGATTTTTACTTCGAAAATCCGCTTAAAAACTGGAAAATTCCCATTTTTTTTTATAAATAAAATCCAATAACTCAGAAACGTAAAATCTGAAATTTATAAAAATAGAAAGGGAGCTTACTTCACTAGATCTAAACAATTCACTAAAGTTTCATGAAAATTGGTGAAATCGTTCTTGAGTTATTGTCCGACGTGTTGACAACGAACGGACAGACGAACGGACGTTCGGACAACGGTATCCCATAACACGTCCCATAAACGGGCGTTTAAAAATCAATTTATCTAAGTTGTTTTTGCTCTTGCAGTAGTATACACACAGTTGATTTCTCTTCCTTTAACTAGTATGTTTAATTTTCGGACAAAATGAAAGATTAAGTCCAACTTTGTTTCATCAAAAAAGAATGACCAACATAGAAATGAATATCTTGATTTAGTAGGAACAGATTTGAACGTCATGAAGTCTGCCTATAACTTCATGACGACATTTTCCTTTATTTATTTGAAAGGTTAGTTAAAGGCAGTTTATTTAACACAAATGAAAAAAAAAACATCAATAAAATTTGATGTAAAATCACCATGAGCCAATACACATTGTGTAAGTATGTTATAACCTAGTCAAGATTCGTTACTAATCATATCAAATTCGACAATTGAGATTAATTTGTCTGCATGAATGGTTTGAGTTGAATGGGTAGATCTCTTTGTTGTGATACACCAAATAAACCAACACTGGGAGAATGGGAAATACCGCCAGTAGATCCTGATTGTAACTGCGGTGGAGATGGCACTGTCTTATAAAAGTCAACACTTTCCGATGTATGATTGAGATGACCTGTAGATTTAAAAACTGCATCGATGTCGCTCCAACGCTTTAAAGCAATTTTCATTCTGGTTTCAGAAGTAATTTCATCAAGTTTTGGATTTTTTACAAATTTGTCAAACGATTTCCTGGAGGCAATGGTTATAGATTCCTCCAGGAACGATGGTAGTTGATAGAGCTCTGCTTGTAATATGTTCGTGATTATTTGCTCAGAAGTAATTTTATCTCCAATGACTTTGCTCTTCTCTGCAAGAAACTCATCAGCTTTTCGCAGTGTTCTTGACGTTTGATATTCACTTGCCAGAGGAATCACCGAGTGAACCGTTTTATCTAAAAAAAAAACCAGATAAATTCTGATGAAGGCTTATGTAAATGTTATGTCATTTGCAATGAGAAAGTAGACAACACGATACTGTTTGGTAATAAAGCGTCTGAAGACAAAATATTAATGAAGGACCTTTTGTCTGAATTGTGAAACAACAGGGCCATTCATGGTCAATAAGCCACCAATTTGTCATAGATTACTGGGGTCTGTTGTTCAACTTGTCGTTAGTGCTAACGAGTCGTTAAAATTTCTTAATCATTCGATTAAAATTAATCATATGATTAGTGTATGCATGTGGTTTTTTTTTTTTATTGAATTAATAAATATTAGTCTTAAAACATGTTTTGTACAATTTTGCTGGTCAAAACCTGATCAATCGGCATTTTTTCTGGTTAAAAAATCCAGCGCTTGTCATAATGAATGATTTTTAATTAGATAACGATCACGTGATCGTGCTTACGTCAGTGGTTACAAGCTGCGAAAATGTCTCTAACTGGACGATGTCGATACACTATGGACGGTATAGACAGCACGTTTCCCGGTTACTGACAAACTATAAAGACAATTGACCTCATCAATTTGAGCCATTGTGTGTGGAAAATAACAAAGAAAAGGATGTTAATTCTTCATGCGAAGAGTTCAACAACGACGATTTTTCATACAATACCGATCGGATTGTTACCATACATATTTGATTTGTCTGATGAATAAATTTAATAGACCGCTTTCTGCATTTTTTTTTTATTTAAATAAAACTACTTTTAATCATGATTGAACATATAAATTTCTAATTATTGATGATCAAATTGTTCTTTTTCTCTCTCTGTTATGGTAATGTTATAATTATGTGTGCGCCAGAAGCAGGAAAAAAAGATAGTAAAGTCAAATTCGGCGTTCGTAAAGTGTCCATTTTATTTTGTTTTTTTTGTTTTGGTTACGTAGAGACTTTTAATAGGTATAAATTATCACCAAAAGTTAATATGCTTATAATTTTTTTGGTTGGAAACCATACATCACACGAAGGATTTGTATAGTGAAAAATCTTTTATCACACTATTTCTGCATAAGAATATTCAATTAACAATTTTATTACTTCCCCCCTTTTATGTAAACAATTCAATTCAATATTTTATTAAAGTCTCACCTTATGTATAAAATTACACAATACAAAACATTTATTGAAGGCTGTTGTTTTAGTGATTAAATGTTGACACCTATAGCATACTTGACCAGGTGAAAGGTAAGAAGGCAACTGTAGGAAAATATTCGCAACACATAATATTCTTTTTCAAAATATTTTTTCTAAAAGGGGTCATTTGAATAAATGTTAGATTTTCAATCGAACTGAGCAGGAAAATGTTTGCATGTACCATACTTCAGTCTTCGAGAACATGAGTTGTGTATTAGCTGTACTTGGCTATGATCTAGCTAACAGTATTTGTGCGTTGTCTCTATTGTTTTAACGTTAGTTGTTTCTCTACTTCGTACCGATCGTTTGAGTTAGACTGGATTTTATAGTTCTTATGTACTGCTGTAAGGCCACTGTCACACGTTAGGATGGGGGAGAGGTAAGGAGCTCACAAACATATACCACCGACACATTTTGAATGTGCCTGTCTTAAATCAGGAGCATATAGATCAGTGGTTGCCGTTGGTTCATGTCTGTCAAATTTTTTTCCGCTGAAATTATTTTGTTATAAATAAGTTAGTTTTCTCGTTAAAATTGTTTCACATTTTCACGTTGAGAACTTGTATAGCCGAATATACGGTATGGGGTTTTCTCATTTTTGGAGGCCGCACGGTAAACGACACTTTCCTCATTTATTATAAAGTTTCCATTTTAAAAAGAAATGGTTTTCATCATCTGAATCTTTACCAACTAAATAGTTGTCAATAATTATATTCGATGAATAATATAATAAAATTGAGAATGGAAATGGGAAATGTGTCAAAGAGACAACAACCCGACCAAACAGCAGAAAAAGAATGTAAAAGACTTATGATTCACATTCTCGTATCATTTCCTTGTTTGCTTTTTATGCTTTTTGTCTAACAATTTCTTATGAAGTTATAGACTTGCAAGCATTCAGGAATATTACTTTTCCATCTCGAGAAGTCAATTAAAAAAATGGATCTGTTATAAAACTTTTTTTATCTGCATATTCTTAAAAGCAATAAAAATAAGATCTATATACAGGTTGTCTATTAGTTATCAACACTGGTTAGGATATTTAAATGCATAGGGTATTGTATGGTCGTACTACAGGTATTCATTAAACATATGATAATTTAAAAGTAGTTGTACCTGTCACGATTACTGTAACAATAATATATTCCAATCTCACCTGTGCCTCGGCAAAACCAACATCCAGGATGTACACAAAGAGCTTATGAAGTAATATTGCGTAATAACTATGTCTTATCAATCCCCCATGTGGCGTGACACCTGATTTGCAACTTCAAACGAGACCTGAAATTGCGAAACTCAATCACCTGTACCATACACCTGTGACCTATGATGAACTCATGGCATGGCACCCGAGACCCCAACTCTGGATTCCTTATGAAAGTGGGCGGAAAGAAGTGTAGTTTGGGCTTGTTAAGTCCCATCTTTACACCTTCTAAGTCTGCGTGTCATTCGAAAAACAGAAAATATCATGTCAAAATTCTTTTTAATTATATTGTTGAATCCATCGGCATCACACATAATCATTGTTTATCACTGTCATGCGTTTTGTTGGATAATAATCGAAACTAAATTTGTGCTGTACCCATATGTCAATATGAAGGAATGTAACCACTGACGTAGTAGCCTCGTTCTGAGTGACTTCCGGAATGGAAATATGCATATTTGACAGGTCGATAAATCGTTGCATTAAAATCTCATTAATATACATATTTTACCAAATAGTTGACACTTATATTGCTATCGATGTATTTTTTGGGGAAAAGTTAAGTATAAATAAACATTTTGAAACACAAATTGAAAATCGTGTCATGTCTCCTTTAAACTGTCGTTAAACTTTATCCACCTCTTTGAGGTGTATTGAATTTTAATCATATGATTAAAACATCCAAGATGGCTGCTGTACCAATGCAAAAATTGGCTTATGCTCGAAATATGAGACGTTTAAGAGATATTTATCTCCTGGAAAGAGATTTTAGCCATGACCAGCTATGAAAGAGCTTAAGATTTGAAATAAACACAATATATTTGCTAGGAGTTGAGTTGAAACAAATTGGAAAGAGGTATAAGAAGATGGGGCGAAGGATCGGACGCATTCATACAATGGTCATTTGATAACAGAAAGAAATTGCACATTTCGGCAGTTTTTTCGTTTGTATTTTACCGCTCAGTGACAGTGTTGATTACAAAGACTAAACGTAAAGACGGGCCACATTAGTGTGCGGAAACATTCAACAAATTATGACGAAGATCTTTTATAAATAACAAATGTTACCATAGCATTAATATACAGGCCATACGTGATTTCCAAAGCAAGTCTTTGCTAATTTCCCCATTTTTCGAAGTTCATATATTAGCACATTCAGTAACGCCCTTGACCTAACTGTTTACGCAGGTAAATTCTAATGGATGACTTCGTCCCACAGATAGTTCGGACCTTACGATTTTTTATCTTTACACGGAGTTTTTAAACATCATATATTTTTTTTTTCATTTAGTAAAATTTATGAGCATGACGAGGATCCAAATCATGGGCGGATCCAGCAATTTTGGGGGGGGGGGGGGGGGGGGGTCCAACGGTGCCCAGGTTAAAAGGGTTGTTCCGACCATATGTCGCCTTTCAAAAGCTATGATTGTCAAATAAAAGGGGATTCCATTCCCCGCCTCCTCCCCCCTTTGCATCCGCCACTGCAAATGTTTATCATGAAAATATAATACCGTAAGTGTTTTATGTAAGTCATTAAGTTTAAAGAGACTGAGTCAATGAAATGTCTCATATTTCTTATCTGACACAATATACAAAAACGCTGAAGCACCTGTTATTATTAAGAATTTGTGAAATCTCATTTCCGAGTGTCAGAGATATTTCAAAAGAAGTAGTATACCGCTGTTGGGAGAGGGGTAGGATTTCTGTTATTAGTGCCGGTCTTTCCAATAATTCAGATCATTACAGAATATATGTTTGAATTATTTAACACTCAACTATGCTTCTCCGGTTAGTCCGAGTAAGAAATGATAGAGTATAAATTGCGTCAATATTAAAAATAAAGGGCATGCAAACGTCCATAGAGCAAATTACACGGATAATTTAAATTGACCATTTGTTATATGGTAGTGTTCTTTGCGACACGTACATGCAGGTCATAAATTATTTCATTTAATGGAATCAAATCTTTATCCAGCCATCCATCATCATCAGCGTGAGACAAACAACCGATGTAATAACATTATGTGATCTTATGTGTTTGATATTCATTATTCGTTGTTTTTTCATTTTTTTCTTCTGAAATTTGAACATGTTGAATAAATAGGAGAGGTGTTTATAACTTCTGAAAGGTTTAAAAGAATACATTATTAGTTTATTAATTATGTTTAAAATCATTATAGTATTGTTATTCTAGAGGAGATATGAATTTGCTGAACGTCTAGCGGCAAATACTTTATGCATATATATAACAGAGATCATTTAATAGAATGTATTTCAAACAAGAAGCTGCACTTTTTGCCGAACAAAATAGAAACATAAACATAATCCATAGATATTTTATTCATAGTAAGTAGTCATCTTTGTTGGTCGGTTGTAGTACAATCTCATCCAATGGTAAAAGAGATCACACAAAAGGGACCAAATAAACCGGCATCTGCTACTTATATATATACAATCGGCTTTTTGCATGTGCCTGTAATTCAGTGGTTGTCGTTTGTTACTATATTTCATTATTTTACGTTCATAGTTTTGTACATAAATAAGGCCTTTAGCTTTCTCGTTTGAATTGTTTTACCGTGATTTGTCATATCTAGGCCTTTTATACATTGTCAAGAATCAGTCCGGTCGATATTGCGCATGCGTGAATTCAGACACCCTACAGGACTCAGACCACAATTATATTGGTTTTGCTCGGTCTTGAAGGCCGTACGGTGACCTATATTCGTTAACTACTACATCATTTGGTCTCCGATAAGAGATTGTCTCGTTGGCAATCATACTACATCTTCTTGTCTTTATATTTACTATTATGCACCCCATCCCACGTGAATATCGGATACCCAAGATATATCATACTGTCGGATTGCTTTGCTTGATCTTTATTATTGTTTTATTGTGAAAAAAATGTTCTGGCAGGGTATTGTCAATAAATGTCACGAACAAGTCGTTATTTCAGTTTTAAAAAATGATTGCAAAGCTTCTCTGACTGAATTAAACCACTGTGACGGACTGTGCATTATGCCATTACACTTACACAATTGAATATTTAAAATTGTCACACTGTATCTTCTTATGCCGTATGAACTACAATCGATCACAGGTCTGTTATATATCTACACCATCCGGAATAATTATCTTATATGTTACCTTGGCATGCCATATATGATGAAATGCGGACGTGAAAGAAAGCACTCCCATACGCGTCAATGGAGATTTTATTTCCAATGATTTGCGTCATTTATAAAACAAAAGCATATATTAAGCATGAGTGTAGAAGGTTGTACTTAATTAACAACAGAAATTACAGGTTTTTGAAGGAATCATTATGATGTGGATATGTAAAAACAAAGACTTCAAATTATCATTGCTATCACTGACACTGTTACCGTCGTCGGACATCAAATTCCATGAAAATCATGGCCATGAATGACGCATTTTTATTGAGGACCGAAGACAATCACTGACATTGTTTCCGAGTTAGAACAGTCACGTGCTGCATGATAAAACTATTTTAACAATGATTGAAACTTTTTTTTATAGAAACAAAATTTCAAGTTACTCATTGAATGCGGTTTTTTTTTCGACCAACTGCATGGCCTCATCATTGCAGATACCAAGATTTATGAACAAACAAATGACAAACTAGCTCTGGCCCTAGTCATAATTTAAAGTGAAATGCAAATGTTGATTATTTCAAAATGTTCCCTAAACCATTTTCATGGTATTAAAACACATATGGCAAAATCAAAGGTACTTTATTTAAATCATTTGCACCACGTGACTTTGTCCCTTTTGATCAAATTACTTCCCTTAGCTTAAGATTGAAAATATGATTTATTATAGATTTGCGAATAATCCAGTCCTTTTCCGTCATGTATCTAAAACTAATGTATCTTTAAAAACTTCCTTTGGCGGATATTTACAAAAATGCTTAAAATTTGACTTTTTACGAAATGGGAAGGTTGAAATCATCATGTTTTTAAAAGAATTTGGCCGAAAACTTAAGAAAGCAGGTAAGTTAAAAGTTATTTAACTTTAAAATTCAACCTACAAGGTGTTTCCCTATATGCGAACAAATCATGAACAATATTTTCTTGCATGTGTAGTTCTGTTTTGAATTTTGCTATTTTACGATTTTACGTCATTTTATTTGATCTTATATAGCAATTACACAATGGTTACGCTTCCGATTTTTAAACTAAAAAGGCCGAAAGATTTAAGGGTAGACAATGTCCATTTGTACACGGACAGAAGCCTAAAACATGTACCATTCACCTATATGCGAACAAATTGTTCATTCGACATAGGTATTTGCATATTAGCATTTTTATTAAAAGGGCTTATATAATCCTATTGTAATGGCTGCCGTCATGATAAGGCAAATGGCCGCTATGCAAATTACCCCAAATTTTGCCATATGAAATGCATATTACTTTCTGCATTCACTGAAATTATTTTTCCATTCAAGCACATTTCATTTTGAACTGGAAAGAAATCTAAAATATGAATATATGTTTCCATAAAAAATATGAACATGTTATAAGATATTTATTCAATAATTATTGGCACCCAAAAACTGGTTAAAAGAAGAATGTTATAACTTAAAGCAGAAAGGGAAGTTATATATAGGCCCTGATTTACAATGCATTGTGGGAAACACTTGCTAACTACCCAAACTTAATCATATGATTAAAAATGAATACAGTGATTAGTAAATACAATGATTAAAATAAGTTGAACAACGCAATATAATCATCACAATTTGTATTTACTAATCATGCGATTAACTTTTAACGAATCGTTAAAATTAATCATATGATTAGTTTAATCACAAGTTGAACAACTGTTACCGACCCCTGAACATTTCAAATGTCATACATCTAAAACCATAAACTAACAATTTACTAAAGTATTAATGAAGACAACCACTTACGTGGTATTTTTTATAAGGAGAGGTAAGAGATTAATGATATAGGTTACTGTTTAATACATTTATAATTCATAATTTTTAACTTAATTGCGTAGTGGTACACTGTTTGACTAAAGCTGAACATTGAAACAGGAATATATACTGACATGGCTATAGAATTACGATTATGCAAATGTTGTAATATGCAGTTGTTGAAAACGAATACCTTTTTTATTAGTATGCCCAGCTTATATAATATATCAATTAGGCACAACATTTTGCCAAAATGTCATTGTCCTTGGCCAAAGTTTTAAATCATTAAGTCAATGACTATTCAACCCCCCTTCTTCTGATTTTTATCAGCAAAATAAAAATAAGAATACCCAAATAGTGTACACCACAAAACAGTCTGTGAGAGAAAGAGAGAGGGTTACCTGTTAATTTTTCATCAATTCCTGGTAAAGTGCACCTTAGAAAGTCAACAAAACTGTTTAGGTCTTTTCCATCCAATTCTATTTCCTGTTTATCCTTTTCTTTAAAGTCTGACGTAAACATTTTCTCAAATACTGGTGACTCGGCCATAAGTTGTTCCTTGTTCACGTGCAGTTTTGTATTTTCGATTTTTATTATCAAATCGTGCTGAGCAAAAAGAGACAAACGCTTTTGGCTGTCAATCTCATCAGTATATACATCATTCCTACCCACAGGTGCCTTGGGAGCTTCCACAAGTACCGTGGTAGCGTTTGTAGGAGGTTTTGCGCAAAACATCTGAAAAGACACTAATTAATTCTAAATTTTGTGGTTCGATTTTGTAAGGAATAAAAAACCGTCAAAAGCGTGGTTTATGTTCTTTTTGCAACGATTTTTCAACGAATAAAGTTCCATAACTCCGGAATGTCATATCAGAAATTTATAAAAAAAACAACAGAAGGGAGCTCATTTCAATAGAAATAAACAAGTCACCAAAATTTCATGAAAACTGATCAAATCGTATTTTGAATAATTGTTCGAAAACTGGACCCCCTTTTTATGAATAAAGTCTCAATACTGCAAAACGTAAAAACGGATTTTTTTTAAAAATCGAAACTGTTTATACATAACAATTCACCAAATTTTCACGAAAATTGTTCAAAGAATGTTTGAGTTATAGTCAGACAAGAGGCTGTCAGAGAGACAGCAAACCGGATTGTTCTGCAGAGGTCGAACCCTGAACAGTTGAGCAAGTATGGACACAACATTTAAGCTTAAAACAGCTCCGAATTTGGATTGTGATTGAATATTTGATACAGCATAGGTTTGTGACAAAAAATAAATGTGATCAAAGAACTGACAAATTTGAAATTGGACATTTACCTATTATGGTCCAATATCCAAATCTAAGTACATTACTAGAATCAGCATATCAAAGAACCATAAGAATCAATTTTTGATGAAAAACTTCTTAGTTAAACCACTTCTGTTCAAAGAGAAATTACTCAAACTTTATTCCCATGAACCAATAATGTAAATCTAAAATTGAATATGATTTAACCATAGTTCTCTAAAATTAGATATAATGTAATTAGATATGATGTTATATTTATTTTCAAATTATAATCAAATATAATAGTTTTCAAATAAATCTGTCACTCCAATTATAACTGGGTGATTGACAATTACCAGATGGTGTGTTATCTTGATAAAAGGTGAAAATCATTTAAAAACACTAGTGTAATCAAACTTTATATATATACAATCATGAATGTATTTAATAGTTCCCAATATTTTTCTTTCATTTGTAACAAACTAATATAGATCTGCAACTCTACAACTTTATCTGCACAATGTTATGTAATAAAATACATCCTTTAATAAAAATAGATTACTATCTAATGAATTTGCAAAACAACATATCTAAATTTGAAAAAAATTTCTTCAAAGGGTTTTCATGTAAATGAACGGACACTGTTTGGCAGAAGCAAGCCCGCCCGCCCGTCCGCCCGCCGTACATCTCCAAATCAATAACCGATTTTTACTTCGAAAATCCGCTTAAAAACTGGAAAATTCCCATTTTTTTTATAAATAAAATCCAATAACTCAGAAACGTAAAATCTGAAATTTATAAAAATAGAAAGGGAGCTTACTTCACTAGATCTAAACAATTCACTAAAGTTTCATGAAAATTGGTGAAATCGTTCTTGAGTTATTGTCCGACGTGTTGACAACGAACGGACAGACGAACGGACGTTCGGACAACGGTATCCCATAACACGTCCCATAAACGGGCGTTTAAAAACCAATTTATCTAAGATGTTTTTGCTCTTGCAGTAGTATACACACAGTTGATTTCTCTTCCTTTAACTAGTATGTTTAATTTTCGGACAAAATGAAAGATTAAGTCCAACTTTGTTTCATCAAAAAAGAATGACCAACATAGAAATGAATATCTTGATTTAGTAGGAACAGATTTGAACGTCATGAAGTCTGCCTATAACTTCATGACGACATTTTCCTTTATTTATTTGAAATAGACTCCTTAAAGCTGCTCACAAAGAGTAAATAGATCGATTTATCGATTGTTTGATTGGTGGTAAACGCCACTTTCAATACTACTGTGCTATTTCGTGATTTTAGGTGAACGAAGCCGGATCGCTCAAAAAGAACCACCGACCTTTGTGACTAGGAAAACTGACAATCCTAGTCAATTGAGATTAGTCATGTTCACTCGATCTGCACCTGCCACGTGCGGGATTCGAACTCACAACCTCAGTGTTGACAGGCTAGTGATACGGTAGTTCGACAACTGATACTACTCGGCCACTTATGCCCTTAAGTGAGAATAAAAAATAGCATTCGATATAACTTCACGTTCCGCTATTATAGTTGATTTCATCTCACTACATAATTAGTTCTTTCCATTTTTCTTCGAAAAGACCTATTGTATTTGTTTTGATTATTAGGTCTTTCCACTTTTCTGTGGAAAGATCTATTGTATTTGTTCTGATTATTAGGTCTTTTCACTTTTCCGTGGAAAGACCTTTTGCTTTTGTTCTGATTATTTGTAGGTCTTTCCACTCTCCGTGGAAAGACCTTTTGCTTTTGTTCTGATTATTATTATTTTTTTTTTCTTCCACCTATTTTTTTTCTTTCGCAGTATGGATGTTTCATAAGATGTCGCTTAGATTTTTGGTATATAATATCGAACAGTTTATACGCTTTTGTAACTGACACTGTTTAACCGAACACTTTTCTATGTAAGAGTTATCTCCCCAAACACTGTATTCTTGTGTCCAACACTCCTACGCAACCGTAAAAGATTACGACAAAATTATTTTACCAAATTGCTCGTTATATCCCCAGGATAATGCAAATAAATTTGACCGACGGGATCCAAAGACTCCATATGAGAGTTATTTCGCCTTATGCATTTGATATAAGTGATTTACATTTGTTACTGGTAAACCATAAGTGATAGAGACCTAGGATCTTTCGATTTGAGGTCCTTGGTTCCAAAAAAAAAAAAAAAAAATATGGTCAAGGGCAAAGGTCAAGGTCATATTATAAATTTTGATTTTGGCTTATTTTCACTTCTTTTCAAAAACCCTTCAAGATATCGACAATACATTTTTATTAAATTGTTATTTGCGACATGTAGTAACTCATAAATTTTGGTTAAAAGTGTGCGTTGGCATTAAATGGGAGTTTTTGCCCCTCTTATATTTAGAATTATGCGTATAGAGTTATAACTCTTTAACCATATATAATAAAGACCTAGGGTCTTTTGATTTAAGGTCCTTAGTTCTTATCTTGAAATTGAAGTCAAGGTCATAGGTAATTTAGATAGTCTAGATTTTGACCTTTGCTTTAACTTCATATGTTTACATGATAAAGCCATAGGACTTTGTGCATTATGTTGCAAGTCATATGACCTTGAAAAATCCTACCGGAAGTGACTGTGTAAACCGGAAGTGGGTATTTTCTGTATTTATTTAATGTAAAAGTATATAGAACCATATTTTTTTTTACAATGTCAAGTAATCTATCAAATAATACCGGAAGTTACATTTTACCTCCGAAAGTAACAAATGGCCTCCCTTATTTCAAACAAAATTGCACAGAAACCATATATTTTTGAAATCAGCATACAATGAGCTATCATTTGACACTGGAAATGACATTTTAAACGGAATTTTAATTTTACATATCAAAATATATCGTATGGGGTGGAAAGACCTTCAATTGTTCTCTGAACAATTTGTTTTTTAATTTTTTTCTTCTTTCACCTAGTTTTTTTTCATTCGCTGTTTGGTTGTTTCGCAAGGTGTCAATTAGATATTTGGTATATGATATCGAACAGTTAATGCACTTTCGAAACTGACACTGCTTAACCAAATACTTTTCTTTGTAAGAGTTATCTCCCCGATCACTGTTTTTCTTGTGTTAGCTACTCCTTCGCAACCGTTAAAGATAACAACAAAATTATTTCACCAATTTGCTCGTTATATCCTCAGGATGTTAAGATTGGTTTTGACCGAAGCGTTCCAGAGACTCCATATGAGAGTTATTTCCCCTTATGCATTGGATATAAGTGATATGCATTTGTAAATGGTAAACCATAAGTGATAGAGACCTAGGGTCTATTGATTTGAGGTCCTTGGTAAAAAAAAAAGAAAATTATGTCAAGGTCAAAGGTCAAGGTCACGTTCTTAATTTTGATTTTGGCTTATTTTCACTTTTTTTTTCAAAAACCGTATAAGATATTGACAACATATTTTTACTAAATTGTAAGTTGTGACGTGTCGTAACACAAATTTTAGTTAAAAGAGTATGTTGACATTAAATGGCAGTGTTCTCCCCTTTTTTATTTTAAATTACGCGTATGGTGGTATAAGTCATTAACACATGCACTAAAGACCTAAGGTCTTTTGATTTGAGGACCTTGGTTTATGACCTTGAAATTTAGGTCAAGGTCATACGTAATTTAGATGTTCTAGATTTTTACCTTTGCTTTAACTTCATATGTTTACATGATCAAGCCATAGGACTTTTGCATAAGGTTGCAAGCCATATGACCTTGAAAAAGTCAACCGGAAATGACCTTGTGTAAACCGGAAGTAGCTATTGTTTGTACTTATTCAATGTGAAAGTATCATAGAACCATATATTTTTGGAATCAGTGTCAATTAAACTATCAGATAAATAAAGGCAACAGTAGTATACCGCTGTTTGAAACTCATAAATCGATAGAGATAAAAACAAATCCGGGTTACAAACTAAAACTGAGGGAAACGCATCAAATATAAGAGGAGAACAACGACACAACAAAAACACAACATTAAAATGTAATACACACAGAAACGAACTATAATATATAACAATGGCCATTTTCCTGACTTGGTACAGGACATTTAAAAAAAAATGGTGGGTTGAACATGGTTTTGTGGCATGCCAAACCTCCCGCTTTTATGGCAATGTTAAATATAACATTAAAATGACAACATTACATGACATGACTACAATACAAATAAATGGGAGAACATATAGGACAAAGAAACACACGAATAAAAGCTAACAAAAGGTACTAGGTTTAGAATTTAATACGCCAGACGTGCGTCTCGTCCACACAAGACTAACCAGTGACGCCCAGATGAAAAAAGTTTGAAAGCCAAAACAAGTACAAAGCTGAAGAGCACCGAGGACCAAAATTCCAAAAAGTTGCGCCTAACACGGCCAGGGTTTTCTGCCTGGGACAAGAACATCCTTATTATTTAGAATAATATATACTTTTG